ACTATTAGAAAGGAAATTTTAAAATAGCCCAATTGTTACTCCAGTAGGGTGAAAAGGACAACTTCAACTTTAAAAAACGAACCAAGCTCTCCACGGCTTTATCCCAAGCAAGTAAATCAGTCTGGCACATAGTAGATGCTTAATAATTTTTTTGATAAGAGAATTGTTTAACTTTGTTAGTTGTATTTCAGAAAAAGAATTTTGTTTGTTCATCAATAATGAGTATCCTGTAGTGTCAAAATAGTAAAATTAAAAAGGACTGATTCAACATTTAGAAACCCCAGATTTCAGCCCAGTTTCTGTAAGTTATTATATGACCTTGAGCCTCATTTTCTTTGTCTTAATAAGGATATAATAATATCTAATTCCCAAAATTTGGGGGAATATTAAATGAGCTACAGTATGTGGAAGATGCTTCATAGATGCTTAAGCACTATATAAATATTAATGTTATTTGTCTTAGATAACATTTTCAATTTTGTAAATATGTATTTACTGAAATCATCTTTATTTCCTGAGTCCTGTATTTGTTTTAGATAGAAAGAAGTGATTTCCATGATTGAAATAGAGTTTTGAATTCTTTGATAAAATACATTTTAAGAAAACTAATTATGCATGATTTAGATTTAATGAATTAATGTTAGGTGTATAGAATTGTCTGCAAAGAATTAAAACACTCATTTTTAGGCAAGGGAAATATATTTATTTTATGATTTTTCCTAATTGAATGTTTGCCAGCTAATTTGTGTATAAGTTAAGAATTGATTGATAGATATTTGGTAGACAATCACCCTCTTCTAGGTATCATAACATATATAAAAAGTATACAACAGCATTTTCCAAAGTGGAAAAGGAGTATTAGTTTTTGAGATGTTCCATGATTAGAGTTTGGGAATTTAAAATAGAATTTTTACATACTACCATAGGTTTCTCCTGGATATTTTTATTACCCATTAATGTAAGTTACAAAAATTCCTTCATATAGAAACCTATACAAACCTTTTATTTTGTTTCTACACAGTGTTCTCCGAATTTATTTAACAAGAAAACCCTACATTTGTTAACGTTCACTCAAGTATTTTATAAAGCACTGGTATGAGATATGATGGTCTTGACCCCATGTATTTTAACAGTCTATTTGGAACTCTAACTATGAACATGGTGAAGTACATTAAAACAAAACAACAAACAAACAAAAACAAAACAAATTAACTATGAGATTGTGAAATGGTTGTAATATATGTCACCAAATTGATGGCTAAATCATAGAAATTGATCTGTCACAGCTCGTTAAATAAGTAGTCTTTCTCTTACATGACTTCTTATGTGATTTTTCCCAAACTCCTTAGTCAAAGAAGATAATCTTTCCAGACTGAGAAATTTGAAAATACCTTTATTCCCCTTTAAATTTACTGATTTATAAATACTGGGAGTCTAACAAATGCAAGTTACTACTCTTTATTAATCCTTTTTATTTAGTTTCAGCTTACATACAATAATTGTGTCAACTTATATGTACAAGTCAATTAATTTAGACATGTGTAGACCTGTGAAACCATGTCTGCAATTAAGGTGCAGAACATCCCCATCACCTTCAAAAGATTGCTTTTGTCCCTTTGCAGTCCATCTTTCCCTCTTCCTCAGGTTGCAGTCAACCACTAGTCTGCTTTTTGCTACTATAGATCAGATTAGACTTTGTAAATATTTTATATAAATGCAGTATGTACTATTTTATGTCTGTTCTATTTGACTCAGCATGATGAGACTCATGCACATTGTTCAGTGTTCATTATTTCCTTTCTATTGTTGAGTAGTATTCCATTATATATTTTGACTATTCACTCATTTGGGTTGTGTACAATTTTAGCTATTGTGAATAAAGCTGCTGTGGGCCAGGCACAGTGGCTCACACCTGTAATCTCAGCACTTTAGGAGGCCAAGGTGGGTGGATCACTTGGACGTAGGCATTTGAGACCAACCTGAGCAACATGGCAAGACCTCATCTTTACTGAAAATACAAAAGAAATAGCTGGGGCCAGGTGCAGTGGCTCAAGCCTGTAATCCCAGCACTTTGGGAGGCCGTGGCAGGCGGATCACCTGAGGTCAAGAGTTTGAGACCAGCCCGGCCAATATGGCAAAACCCCATCTCTAATAAAAATACAAAAAATTAGCCAGGCATGGTGGTGGGCACCTATAATCCCAGCTACTTGGGAGGCTTAGGTGGGAGAATCGCTTGAACCCAGGAGGCGGAGGTTGCAGTGAGCAGAGATTGCACCATTGCACTCCAGCCTGAGCAACAAGAGTGAAGCGCCACCTCAAAAAAAAAAAAAAAAAAAAAAAAAGCTGGGCATGGTGGTGCACACCTGTGATTCCAGCTACCTGGGAGGCTGAGAAGAGAGGATCACTTGAGCGCAGGAGGTAGAGGAAAATCTGTGAACTTCCATATATAAGTCTTTGTGTAGATATGGGTTTTTTCTTCTTAGGTAACTACCTAGGAGTGAAATAATTAGGTTGTTAGGTTTAACTTCTTAAGAAGCTGACAAATAGCTTTCCAAAGTGGTTGTACTATTTTATATTCCTATTAACAGTGTATGTAAGTTCTAGCTGCTCCGTGTCCTTGATCGGTCTTTGTTATTGTTAGTGTCTTTAATTTTCATCATTCTTATGATAATGTAATGGTATCTCACTGTGGTTTAAATTCACATTGATCTGATAACTAATGATGTTAAGTATCTTTTCACATACTTACTTCACAAAGGAAGCTGTATGGTTAGCAAGTATGTTCAAATTTTTAGTTCAGTTACTTTGGGTTGTTTATTTTTCTATTATTGAATTGTGAGGATTCTTTATATAGTTTGGATACAAGCCCTTTGTCAAATATGCATATTGTGAATATTTTATCCCAGTCTGTGACTTGTCTTTTTATTTTCTAAAGGTACCTTTTGAAGAGAAATTTTGTTTTGATTTTTGTAAAGACCAGTTTATCCATTTTTTTTTATACTTCTAGAAGTTTTATAGTTTTAACTCATATATTTCAAGTTTATTTTTCAGTATGCTGTGAGGTAAGGGTCAGTGTTCATTTTTTTCATATGGACTTCTAGTATTCACAGTACCATTTCCTAAGATAATTTCCTTGTTGGTGCCTTAAAATCAATATGGACTTCCTTTTTCTATTTTATTTCTCTGTATCTTTATCCTCTAGATACTCTCATGCTATCTTGTTTCTTTAGCATTATAAATTTTGAAGTCAAGTAGTGTAAGATTTTCCACTTTGTTCTTTTTAAAAGTTGCTAAAACTTGCCACATTCCTTCTGTAGATACACAGAGAGATTTTAGACACATACCTCTTTTCAACCACTTTGAGATAATTCACGTATCGTAAAATTCACTATTTGAAATATTTAATTCATTGATTTTTAGTATATTCACAGATATGTATAACCATCACAATAGTCAATTGTACGTATCTTGTTCATGCTTTCTCCTATTACCAAGAGCAATGTCTGGTATGTAATACATGCTCACCAAATTTTTCTGAATAAGTGAATTAACTAGCTATAAAATAATGTAGGCATTAGCCTCTAGTAAAATATTAGGAAGGCTCATTTGACTGCATTCAGCTGTAGAAGTATTCTCTTATTACAACTGTGCTATTTTGAGGTATCTCCGAAACAGCTAACAGCTTAGCCCAGCTATAGATACAGAGATATAGATATAGATATAGATATAGATACAGATTTTTTTTTTAATGGAATCTCACTCTGTCACCCAGACTGGAGTGCAGTAGTGCTATCTCGGCTCACTGCAACCTCTGCCTCCTGGGCTCCAGTGATCCTCTCACCTTAGCCTCCTGAGTGGCTGGGACTACAGGCATGCACCACCGTGCCCAGCTAATTTTTGTATTCTTTTGTAGAGATGGTGTTTTGTCATGTTGCCCAGGCTGGTCTCGAACTCCTGGACTCAAGCAATCCGCCCTCCTTGCCCTTCCAAAGTGCTGAGATTGGCTGGGCATGGTGGCTCACGCCTGTAATCCCAGCACTCTGGGAGGCCGAGGCAGGAGGATCAAACTCCTGAGGTCAGGAGTTCGAGACGTGCCTGGTCATCATAGTGAAACCCCATCTCTACTAAAAATATAAAAATTATCCAGGCATGGTGGCATGTGCCTGTAGTCCCAGCTTCTAGGGAGGCTGAGGCAGGAGAATCTTGCAGTGAGCCAAGACTGCACTCCAGCCCGGGTGGCAGATGAGATTCTGTCTCAAAAAGAAAAAAAACAAACAAAAAAAACACAAAGTGCTGGGATTACAGGGGTGAGCCATCATGCCTGTCCTTAAACCATATTTTAATAGTTATTTAAGGAAGTTACAAAAAAAAATTCCTTTCGATATAATGAGTGCAAATTATTTGCACATTTTTGAAAAGAGAATAGTAATCTTTTATTCACCTGATAATTGCTGAGAACGGAAACCCTCCCATAAATATTGCTTCTCTCTTTTTTTTTTTTTTTTTTTTTTTTTTTTGAGACAGAGTCTTGCTCTGTCACCAAGGCTGGAGTGCAGTGGGGCAATCTTGGTTCACTGCAACCTCTACCTCCCGGGTTCAAGCAGTTCTGTGCCTTAGCCTCCCAAGTAGCTGGGATTACAGGCGCCCATCACCACGCCTGGCTAATTTTTTTTTTTTTTTGTATTTTTAGTAGAGACAGGATTTCATCATGTTGGCCAAGCTGGTCTTGAACCCCTGACCTCCTGATCCACCCACCTCAGCCTCCCAAAGTGCTGGGATTACAGGCGTGAGCCACCGCGCCTAGCCTTCTATTTTCAAAAGTACTCTTGACATTGTTTGTATCTGTGACAGGTTATGCAATCTCTGGTACTTGTTTTATTTACCAATTATGGATAATAGTGGATTGTTCGTGAAATTCCAGACATCTTTCCCTAGGTATCTTTGAGGTGGAATGTCAGTTCTGAGCCCAGTTAATTCATGTTGCCTCATTTTCTTTATAGGCTTTGATGCGACCTGGAAGAATTGATAGAATCATCTATGTGCCTTTACCGGATGCAGCAACAAGAAGGGAAATATTTAAGCTGCAGTTTCACTCCATGCCTGTCAGTAATGAAGTTGACCTGGATGAACTCATCCTTCAAACTGATGCATACTCAGGAGCAGAGGTAAGATAGTTCGCGTCAAAATACGTTGGTGGGAGGAAAGCAGTGGCTTGAGGTCAGTAAGCAAAATAAATTGCTTGCCGTGAGGTGTTTTAAATGACCATATACTAAGAAATCTTGAAACAGGAAGTGCATTACATGACATAGTCACTAAGTTAAATTGCACTTTGCGTGGCTTCTATTATATCACAATTGTTTTTTACTTGCTCCTATTATTTCTCAAAATGTAGTCTTCAGAGGAATCGCATAATATAGTGAGAAGAACACTAGACTGGAAGTAGATTCTTCCAATGGGTTTCTTAATACAGCAGTTTCTAACCAATCACACACTTCTCTAACTTTGCTTTCTTTACCCATCAAATGAAAATGATACTACTACCTTCCCTGCTGTTTCCTCGTGGAGAGCATAGAAATGAAATTAGAATATCATGAGTATAAAGGGCAAAGCAAAGAGACTGTATCATTATCATCTTTTTATCATTTTGGCAAGTTATCGCAGTCTAATTTTGTATTAAAGATTCTCTCACAGTGAAAGGGACCTTATGCCCTTACCTCTGAAGATAAACTCTTGACAAGAACAGGAAGACCTCTGTGAAAATATAAACATGACTTTTATGTATGACAGATAAACATTTTTTCTCTCCTTGCCAACTCTTTACTTAAGCTATTTTTATTTACCAAATAAAATTCCATGAAGTAATTGTGCAACTTTTCTACCTGCATTTCTTTTTTTTTTTTTTTTTTTTTTTTTTTTTTTGAGACGGAGTCTCACGCCGTTGCCCAGGCTGGAGTGCAGTGGCGTGATCTCGGCTCACTGCAAGCTCCGCCTCCCGGGTTCCCGCCATTCTCCTGCCTCAGCCTCCTGAGTAGCTGGGACTACATGCGCCCGCCACCGCGCCCGGCTAATTTTTTGTATTTTTAGTAGAGACGGGGTTTCACTGTGGTCTCGATCTCCTGACCTTGTGATCCGCCCGCCTCGGCCTCCCAAAGTGCTGGGATTACAGGCTTGAGCCACCTGCATTTCTTAAGGAAAGGACCAACTATGTACCTCGACACAGAAATAGCATCTGTCACACCAATGATGTGGACTTGTAATGGGAAACTAATATTTTTTTAAGTACAAGGTTACAGATTATTTTTTTTCTGAATTACTCAATAGGCTAGGACTCCACATTCTGTTTTGCTTGCTATTGTTTTCATTCGTCTTATGTAAACACCGAAGAGATTACCATATGACAGATCATTAATGGTACTCGGAGAGTCTATTTGGAACTGGACTTAGTGTATCATGCAGTCATAGCTAATAACAACAGCCAAAATAAATCCCAGATCTGTTCATTGTTTTGCCCCAAGAACCGTAGATATAGATATAGACAGTCCCCAACTTACGACAGTTTGACAAGATTTTGGGGCTTTACAATGGTGCAAAAGTGGTACACACTCGTTACACTCCTCAACTTACAATACAGCTATATCTGGATAAATTCATCTTAAGTTGAAAATAATGTCAAAAATATTGTAAGTCAAAAAAACACATATATGCATTTTCGACTCAGACATGTTCCACTAATGATGGGTTTACCAGAACATAGCCCCGTCATAAGTTGAGGAGCATTTGTATTTGATTTTCCTCCTTTATATTTTTCAAGTCCACGGGAATAAAAAGCCATGGGGAAAGTAGCTTGAGAAGCAGTTGAAGTGCTCTCACCTTTAACTCCTCTGAAACAATGATCTTTATGACCATCCATAAAGTTAAAATGAACATGGAGTTATGGTTAACTGACTGCTCCAACATTTCTAGAATTCAGTTTTTGATTTGAGACAAGGGCTGGCATCATGTATGAGGATATGGCAATTTGCAGGAAACAGCAAGAGGAAGATGAAGAAACCATAAATCTCTCACTTGAGTGAACTGGAAGAGCAGTTAGCAAGATATAAATGTGCCTTTCTCACTTTTAAGTAATTCATGGTAGTAACATCGAAGTGCAAAACAAAAATAAAACCCAGTGAGATTCTGTCTGGCTAAAAGGAAAAAAAACCTTATTTGATGCCAGCAATTATTGTACTGGCTTGCTAATTCTTATATAGTACACTTCTTATTTGATCTAACATGTAAGCACATTTGTGATTAATTTTATATGAGATCTTCTGAAAATCGTCACAGGAAAAGTAGCAGAAAATTCTCTTTCCTCAAATTATATTTTTGTGTTCCATAATGCTTGGGTTGGGGAGGGGATCCCATTGTGGTCCTATTTATAATTAGTATACTATTACAACTCATAGAAATTTTGCTAACAGCTACGTCTTAGTACTTCTGTGGTTTCTAATTTGGATGAGGCAGGTTTGTTCCCTGTTGAGGGTTTTGGTTTGGTTTTGTTTGGTTTGGTTTTGTTTGGTTTGGTTTGGTTTGGTTTGGTTTGGTTTGGTCTGGTCTGAATAGTTAGGCAGTTCACACAGTTGTTTTAGGAAAATTATTATTATTTCTTTAAAAGTCTTAAAGTTAATAAACAGGAGATTTAGGACAGGTTAAATAATGCTTACGATAAAAGGTTTCATCTCTCTCTGTTTCTCTGTCTTCATACAGAACCTTCTACATGGCGCATGTTTAACAAGCACTTGATAAACTGTGGGGAAAAAAGATTTTTAAATTAGATTTAGGAAAAATAGATCTCAGTTCTCATTTGTTACAAGAGGAGCCCTCTAACTCCCTACTGTAGACATAGCCATTTTCTCAGAGTTGGAGTGTCTCTTTGGCTACTTTGGGTATAAAAATGAAACTACCATCAATTAATTGTCCTCACAAGAGAATAGTATATTATATTCAAGATTATATAAAATTAATTTTATTTAACTGTATACTATTAGCTATATGAACAAGAATTTGGGCAGGAAAGCCAGAGACAAGGAAATTCCTGGCACTCTAATTGTTTTTTAGAAACAAAATGTTGAAGTGTAGTGAGCATTTTTTATTTTTAGTAAAAAAGTTATAGAGGATGATTAAGATGGAGATGATACTGGTACCTTTTTTTTGAGACAGAGTTTCGCCCTTGTCTCCCAGACAAGGGTGCAGTGACGCAATCTTGGCTCACTGCAGCCTCCGCCTCCTGGGTTCAAGCAGTTCTCCTGCCTCAGCCTCCCAAGTGGCTGGGATTACAGGCACCTGCCACCATGCCCAGCTAATTTTTGCATTTTTAGTAGAGACGGAGTTTCACCACATTGGCCAGGCTGGTCTTGAACTCCTGATCTCAGGTGATCCGCCCTCCTCGGCCTCCCAAAGTCCTGAGATTACAGGCATGAGCCTCCATGCCCACTACTGGTACTTTTAATGGCTGGGATGAGAAGAGGTTACTTTAAAAAATTATTTTCTTTTCACTTGGTTATTTATTTTGCCCAATCAGCACTGTTCTATAAAAGCTTAGATGAGCTCAGTGTTTGAAATAGCTCCTTCTGCTCAAAGTTACTCCATTTTTCCTCTGTGGAGAGGCTATACAGAGAATTGAAGCACTTTTGTAAGCCTCAGGAGACTCTCAAGAGGAAGTCTGTCACCAGCTGGAAGGGGAATACAGCCGTTAGGGAGCAGCCTCTGAGGGGAGACTGAAGCAGGTTGCATCTTTCAGCCATCTCTGCCACCTGCCACTCATTGTCCCTGTGGCTGTGGCCCTCATTGTCCTGGCTTCTTGGCTGTAGCTCTCAGTTAATGAAAAAACATGTGCCATTTAAAAGCAGCTGGGAGTTTCTCTCAGGAGAAAGTCAGTCTTTTTGGTTATCACTATTGTTTTCTTTTGCTTGATTTTTGTTTTTTAAGTTATTTGTAGCAATTCCACCTCATTTATTCATGTGTCTTTTATCAAATTATCCCAGTTACTTTTGGAAGAGTTTTATCTCTAACAGGAAATCAACTGTCATAAATATGTTTACAAAAAAGGCAATAACTGGGCTCATTACCCCATGTGCCCTATGCTTGGGAACATAGGTGATGAGTAAGATGCATAATTTATTCTGTGTATCGGAATTTGCTGACATAGGCCAAAGACGGATATCTGTAAAAGTGGGGTTGAATTTTTATTTGCATTTGGATATTATCCTCCTTTCAGTGAATCCCCTGGGATTGCCGATTTGTGAGGGAGTCAGGCCCTTCTTGGCCAGTTTGTAAATCTCCTCCCTTCCATCTTCAGAGGCCAGCTTCAGCCAAGTGGGGACACTGCGGTGACAGGGAAGAGCCGATTGGGACAGGCCCGTCCTGGGAGCAGGCATGCAACTCATGATGTGGCAGTCAGGAGCAAAAAAACACCTCCTTTTCTTTAAAATGTAAAATGTGCTTACTATAGTCGTTTTTTTATTATAATCTTATGAATCTAGCTCTAGAAAATCTTTTTAAAGCAATTCATTGGAGTTAAATACATTTCACACTGAGTTTTCAAAAAGCTTTAACTTCATGTAAACTTAGTCTATTTATTTTATTTTTTAATGATCCGTCAGGCCCTGAATTCTGTTTTGTAGTCTATGCCTTCCTGGGTCTAATAATAGCACAAGATCTTCACACCAGCTTGACATTAAAAAAAATCACCTTCTAGTTTGCCTCATTAATTCAAGAAGGGTCCTATTCACTATGCTTGAGCTATTATAGCTAATAAAAGGAGAGCCTTAAATTACTTTTCTATCTCACTGATTAATGTTTCTTCTGACATCTTCTCTTTTTCTCCCACACAGTGAAAACAGAAGGAGCAATTATAGCCACTTAAAATGTCTGTACTCTTCCTACGCGAAGTCTCTTGTGATAGTATTCCCCAAACTAAAATATCAGAGTCATTGCATTAGAATCTGGCATAGATTGTTCATCTGACCAGTCAAACAACACATCTGAGATGGGAATAAGGATTCTAAGGAAGGACCATTTGACCTGGTCTTAAGCTCTCTACTTATTATTGTTAGAAAGCAGCTAGCAGCAGTGTATTTGTCTCCAAAGTGAAGCAGAGCACCACAGTACTTAGCACCCTCCTATA